CTTCGATGGTCCAGGATCAGCAGGCTTGACTGGTGAAGATTCCACAGCCTGTGCATGTGGGCCAAGGTCAACCTTGTACAAAAACAATGTGAGCATGCTAGGCACACAAGCGCCTTTCATAGCAAACAAAAAAATGTATGTGATCACATTTAATCAAAGAACAGTTTCCCTCCCATCTGGTTTGGGAAGGCTTTTTTTCTTTCTCTTCTTTGGCTTGGGTTGCATGGATTCCTCTGTATCTTCTGGCTCATGCTTTGGTGCCACCGGTTCTTCTGGTAGTCGCACTCCATCTGGTGAAGGCGGTTCCTCAATGAAAAAATCATCAATGTGTCTTGTAAGCCTGGAATTGCTTAAGTGCAAACATCATCAGCCTGTAATGGCTTAATTGCATTTGCTTGTAGTAGCTTGATTGCAGCAGCCTGTAGTGGCTTAAAGACATCAGCCTGTAATGGCTTTATTGCATGAGCCTGTATTGGCTGTCTGAAATAGACAGTTTTGTTTGGTTAGTTTGCTAAGCCCTGGACTGTGCCTCCTCCCCAGTCAGGTGACCAAGTGTCCCAGTACTGCTGGGTCTTCATTGGTTCCTCCTGCAGACAACACACACACGCACTTGCACTTTGCTTGGTTATGTGGTAAACAGTCAGATGGCTTCAGTGAAGGCTTTGTCACAAATGAGCAATTGAAAAACACAACTCTAAATATAACAATGCAAGCCACTCCTGGTGAGAGTGCTTTGGTGGCACACTGATCCCCTCCTGGTCAGCTGCCTTGGATGAGGCATGTATTGCTATGTTGGCTGAAACTAGCAAACTTGTTTGGAGAAATAAAAAAGCCAGGATACAAACAGAACATTGGCTTGCTCTTGCCACACCTGACACAAGGCCTGCCGCTACAAAAGCAACAGCTGGATCCTATATACAATATATGTGAAGCCTTCATTGGCTGTGAACTTAATGGCATTATCACTGGGCATGAGCCTGCATAGGCCAAGCGTGAGCCTGTATAGGCCAAGCATGAGCCTGCGTAGGCCAAGCATGAGCCTGCGTAGGCTAAGCATGGGCCTGCGTTGGCCAAAAGCATCAGCCTGCATAGGCTAAACGTACACACATGTAGCTTGTTTTTTCACTTAGGCCAGCTGTCCAGCTCAGTCATTCTGAACTGTCATCACTCTGGCTTTTTTGCTAAAGTTGCCAGACTTATTGTAATTTCGCCTCTTCTGGCTCAGACAATTCCCAATGTCTTGCATGATCCACTCACATACCAATGTCAAAGGGCCAGGCTCCAAAGGTACAAGTATCACCTCCTTCCAGCTGCTTGGTGTCTTGAAGGTCACACATGCATCACCCAGCATGACATCCACTGTGCCAGGGGCTGTACGCAACATCTTGTTTTTGGTTGGCTTGCCCTTTTCCAGGGATAGCAAATCAACATATTGTCAGCTACGAAGGTTGCCACTTTGAACCAGCTCTTTGGTGCCTAGCAGCTCAGCCTCTAAAATAGCTACAAGACACTTCTCTTCATTGGTTGCAGGACGAACCTGTTCAGGGGCGCTCCAAGAGCCTTCAATGCAGAGCGGCTCAACAGGGGCGGGGCATCACCGCGAATGATCGCGGCACGAACCACGCCCTGTTGGTTGGCAAGCGCCGCAGGCAGCTGGATGGATAAGGTCGATGTTTCAACCTCCCCATTGCCGAACTTGAATTGATGAACTTCAGAAAATGGTTGTGACGTGGAGGAACCCATCTCTTCTGAATCCAAAGGTGCTTGAAGGCTTTGAGGGTCTCAGCACCAATGATAGTTCGGCCACATCCAGAGTCCAGCACGCCAAAGCCCGGCGAAGAAACCAGCAACATCTCCTCGGTCTGGCCAAGTGAGGGAGCGGGCATCGCCTGAAGGCGTCGGGCTCGTAACTTGTCCAGCAAGGACGGTGTGTCCAAGACGGAGGCAACAAAGGCTAGGGGATGGCTGTTGCTGCACCGGGCGGGCCTCTCCGAAGAGATGAAGGCAGTGGTCATTGCCCGCGCACGTGGAGATTTGAAAAGAGAGTCTGTCTCTGCTGCGCTCAGGTCTTGCTACCCCGACCTGGTGATATCCCGCAAGCGGACTGGCATAGCTCTTGCAGAGGCTTTCGATGAAGCCCCCGACGAACCCGGGGAACGTTGGGATGAAGGGTTTTCTGACGTGGGACACTTCATCGAGGAGCATCAACCTGAAGTGGACTATGCTGGAGACAATGAACCATTCCCAGAGTCTGAAGTAGCGGAAGTGTTGGCCGCCACCTGGAAAGAGAAACGACAAGAACTGAATCGTTTGCAGAAGACCCGTCAATTCCAGAAGGCCAAGGATGTGAAGCGCTCCTTCCGGGTTGAGATCGAAGAGATGAAGCGCAACTCGACCTGCAACAAGTGCGGCCGAAAAGGCCACTGGGCTCGTGAACGCCGTTCCAAGGATGGCAAGGGCACATCAAAAGGCCGAGGAACCAGTTCCTCCTCTGCTCCATCTGGTGCAGCCGCTGTCCACGAGCTCGAACAGCTCAGAGGCGCGGGCCGACCATTGCTTCATGGTTTCGGCCTCATTGGACTTCAGGCTGAATATCTCGCCGAGCTCATCAACAGTCTCGTGCTGAGGGAAGCGTTTGTCCAGGATGCTCCAAAGGACATCATCGCCGCCCTTCTTCTGATAGCTCTCAGGGTCGACGCGCTCAACAGCTTCCAGCACTTTGCCACTCAACAATGTGTAGATATAAGCTCCATAGGAACCTTCAGCCAATTTATCCAATGTCAACAGTTTGTTCTTCACCCATTGCTTCCACCGCTTGTACTCACGACCGTCCTCGGTCTCACCAGAGAAAAATCTGAGCCTTCGGAGGTGGACGAAGATGCATGTGCAAGGACCTTCACCTAAAGGTCAACAATCCATGCTCGGAGCCTGACACTTTAGCGGAAACTCTCCATCCCCTGAGGGCGCGCAGCGGGCTTTTCCTTGTGCCACGAAAATCCCTCGGGTGACGACGTGCATGCCATGTGCAGCGTCAAGATATATATATATATATATATCATTGCGAGCTTATCGCGGCCCGCTATTTCTCGATCAGCCAGCCAGCCGGCCGGCCGGCCGAGATCCACGGTCCAGCCGGCCGGCCGGCGGGCTACTACCACTACCACTACTACTACTACTACCACTACTACCACTGCTACCACTACTACCACTACTACCACTACTACCACTACTACCACTACTACCACTACTACCACTACTACCACTACTACTACTACTACTACTAATACTACTAGTACTACTACTACTAGTACTACTACTACTACTACTACTACTACTAGTACTACTAATACTACTAGTACTACTACTACTACTACTAGTAGTACTACTACTACTACTACGACTACGACTACGACTATTTTACGACTACGACTACTACTACTACCACTACTACCACTACTACTACTACTACCACCACTACTACTACTACCACCACTACTACTACGACTACTACTACTACTACGACTACTACTACTACTACTACTAGTACATGGCCGGCCGGCCGGCCGGCCGCTATGGCCAGCCAGCCGGCCGGCCGATCCAGGGTTTGCGGAAGAAACCGCTACTACCACTACCACTACTACTACCACTACTACTACCACTACTACTACTACCACTACTACTACTACTACTACGACTACTACCACCACCACCACCACCACCACCACTACTACTACTACTACAACATGGCCGGCCAGCCGGCCGGCCGCTATGGCCGGCTGCCGGCGAAATAGCAGGCCGGGTTGCCCGCGCTGTCTACATATATACATAGATATATACACAATGACATATATAATTTGTTGTTTCCTCGGTATTGGGTTTTATAGCCCCAAGAATGACAGGGGACGCCCTAAAAACGATACCCCACAACGATACCCACCCCAAAAATAAACGATAGGGGATGCCCTAACTTACTTATGAATACAGCCTATATCTGTATATATATATATATGTGCATGCACACACATACCGCACCCTAGAAGTCCAAAGACTATTTTTGGCACCACCCGAGTAAAAGAAATTCCCCTCTGGGTCATCCAAAGACAATTCTTAATGTAGTCTTTGACTTACAGGGTATCTATGGGTATCTATATATGATGCAGGATGCAATTTTGGAGCACCAGCGAATGTGTTTCTCATTTCAAGGAGTGGGGCAGAATCAGATCAGTCCGCTGTTAGAGCACAAAGTTGATGATTTTTGAGTGTTTGAGAATCGGTTGGTTTTTTCCCGAGATAAACAAATCAGGGTGTTATCTACTAAGCAGGGTCTACTAAGCAGAGACACTGACAGTTTTTGGAGCGTGCACCTGTCACCCGTGCGGAGATCAGTCGAAGGGTCGAGTCGGTCGAAGGGTCGAAGTGGGTCGCGGCCTGGCCATGCACCGAGTTTTGCTGCGGCCGGCGTGAAAAGAGAAGGGCGCTGCCACCATATGGGCAGAGCTGCAGAGCTGCAGAAAAAACTTTCACACCCAAAAAGAAGCAGGACATGTCGACATCACGAAGACCTGACCAAGTTTCAAGTCTAGCACGAAGTCGATCTGGTTGTGTATTTAAATAGGGAGACCTCCCAAAGACCCCCCGGAAGAAGAAACATAGACCAGTCTACCCATTGGTTTTTGTGTCCTCCCTACTAAAAGTAAACACCCATATTGATGGCACAGTGTTGAGAGAATTACTAAATGAACTTGTGCAGTGTGACACCATCAACCTCCGCTGGTGTAGTTAAAGGAACAGCGCACAGAGGAATCACTCGTACCTAGATGGCCGTGGAGCAAAACGAAAACGACGCAGAAAGCAGCGCAAACATAGGACAGAGTTTGGTAGCATTTACAACTAGAAATGGATTTTGCAGATTGCTTTACACACATTGGAAAGAGTTTGGTAGTTGTTCGCAATCTTTTTTTGCGGTGAGTGATGGCCCCTCCGAACGCCGCTTTGATCAGGATGCCGGTGCCAACGACGAAGCGGAGTGCGTCAAAGAGGTGCTTCCTCAGATGGGCAATTTTGAGGTGACTGGACATGAACAGATACGGGTATGCTATGGCCAGCTATGGGTTGGGTCTGTCGTATTACAGGGAACAGTCGGTAAACAATCAAAGATCACTATTTGAACAAGGCCTGGTACCTAACGATCATCATCCGCTGTTGCTAGTAGGATAGACCCAACAGAAAACGAACAGAAGAAAGGTCAACCTACCTGGGTGAAACGGTCTTCAGGTTTTGACCCACAGCCTCAAATATATATATATATATATACATACCTGGACCTTCAAAGGGGTGTCCAACGGAGATCCCCAGGTAGTGTAGGGGCTTCCATTGGTGACCCCTTTGAAGGTGCTGGTATGGATATGTATCAAAAATCAAAGACCCAAGAACCTCCCCGGCTCAGCAAACTGTCGTTTCTAGTGATGACTCTTTTTGTTACCTATCATGCCAACATGTGAGCTATTAATTAATTAAGCAGATCAGGTGGAACTCAGTTGAATGGTGGAGTTGGAAGGGGGTGGGGGTGGGATGCCAAGTCAACCAGCTTTGTTTAGAGATTGACTGATTCATTTGCGCCAGGAGAAAAGTGAAGAAGAATGCCCAGCTGCTGGCTCCTTACTCTCCGACTCACCGGTCCGTGGATGTGGCAACTCCCCTGTTCGCAAACGCAGAGCAAAGCGCAGAGCAACACGCTCTTCCGAATGTTCCACTTGCCATGTGAGTGATGAAGCAGAGTGTCATGATTTTTCTTCTGAGTGGACTCTTGGACACTGGATAGAGTGTCATGAACGAACATCTCGCCTGTTCTGAAACACACACCTGACTTAGATGGAGTTTGGCTTGCATTATGTGGACCAGTGGAAGAACCTCATTCCGAAAGAAGCACTTGGACACCTCGCAACTCACATTAGTTCATTGATAAAGACTCCTCCTTGAACCCATCCTTTCAGGGTGCTGCAGCTGCTTTGGAAGCTGAGCAAGAGGTGGGGGCAGAGGGTGGGTGGGACTTGGGTGACGTTTCTCAAACATGGCCGTGTCTCAAAATGAGGAGACATCACCCAAGCACCCTTTTCAGATTCCTTTATTGTCGCAACAAACCGAATGGATGGGGAAGAAATTCTGCACCACCCCAGGCCCTTTTCCCCCTCCTCCCCCCTCGAGGTCTTTGTGTCCGTTTCTAGTGTCATTTTGACCTTTGCTACCACAGGCACTCATTACAACTATAGAACAGGTCGCTCAAGCCCAACACAGCTGTTCTACGACTGCAGCAAGGTGTTACTGTTAAATGCCTATAGCTTTCGTCCCCCGACTTGCACTCATTCTACAAGCAGGGAGGGTGGTCTTTCGTGCGCCTTTGGTCCCTTAAAGCGCAGCGGATCGAGCTCTGAGGCGCAGCGGATGAGACTCTTCAGATGTCCCTTCGCGGAGGCGGCTCTCGCCGGTTTCCGTCGGAAGGGCGGGCGGGGCGGGCGAATTCGTATGAAGGCAGGACAGCTGGAGGTTTTTGGTTGCTACGGCGCTACGTATTTACTCATCCCTTTGGGAGGTTTTTGAGGAAGCATGGGGCCATATGGGCCCCCAAGAGTCTTTTGTAGACATCAGGTTGATCCTGATTCCTACATAGAACCACCACTCAGCTGTATACAGCTGCCAGCTTGGAGGACAACAGGTCGTGTTCACTTACGAACAGTTGGGAAACCGAACTGGGTCTCATCAAGTCTCATCTTCCGTCGACAAGCCAAATCCTCAAGGGACGGGTTCCTCGGGTCAAGATGCCTTCGGAAGCCTTCAGGTGTAAGTAGAGGGAGATACTGTGATAAAAATCTATTTTAAGTGCGCTTTGTACATGTTACGCAGTTGCTATATAATACTATATATAATAATATATATATATGTATTATTATGTATATGTATATGTATATGTATATGTATATGTATATATATATATGTATCTAGCCCAGCCCCGAGCCCCTACCTACCGATATTCTAAGAAAGAGACTATTCGACACACACACACACAGACAGACACACACACACACACACACTCAGACACACACGCACCGTATATAGGCCCCCGATAGCTTCACTCCGTGTATCGATAGATGGGACCCCGCTTGTGACATGCCCCCCTCCAGCATGGCTTTCCTGACCGCTCCTGACCGCTCCTGCCTGGAAGCCGCTTCCTGTGCCCCGCCTCCAAAACACGCCCTCACAGGCGGTGGACCTTACATACGTGAAGCGCGACAGGCGCGGTTGGTGGAGAGTTGGATGAATGAATGGATGGAGTCATACTGTCTGGATGGATGTGTGGTCTGGACTCTGGACAAATGTTTGCCGCACCAAGAAATTCATCAGCACTGGCTTGCCTTTTGCGGGAGAGAGAGAGAGAGACTGCATTGAGCAGGGACCCCGTCAAAAATTATTCTTTCCAGGCTTGGACCTGTCGCGGCCCTGGGACTCTAGTCCTGGGACTCTTTTTTATGGTGCGGGAACCATTGATCAATATGAGTGGTAGGCAAATGTAGGCAAGCGGCAAGTTTCATGGCCATTTCCAGCAGTCTCCACGGGCGGTTGGGAAGATCCTCAATCTGACGCCGTTGTTTTCCGCAAGAACCATCGGTTCACCACGTTGTTCACAGGGATGGTTTTTCCCGCCCCCCCCAAAACACCTGATTTCTCCACGGGCTGTTCAAGGCAGTTTCCCTACAGCAGCGATCCGGACGACCAGATCCTCAGACTTGGACGGAGGCGCAAGCGAACGAACTCGCGAGCGATGCCTTCCGCGCGGGTCGCTCCGGGGCGGTCTCGGTTGGGAGTGGAAGGTCGCCCGTGGTCTGGTATCCCAGAAGGTTGACTCTTGATTCATAACCCCCCCCGTTTTTGAATTGAACGACCTCTTCATTTGGGGTGGTTTAGTCATCATGGGTTGGTTTGTGTGAGGAATTCAAGGTTTTGAGGAGTTCGTCTGGGAGGAACTCAACAAACAGAAGACTGATGAAGAGTGGTTTGAAGTATTTCCAGAGGTTTTTTCGAGTGTCTAAATAGCCAAGTGGGTACCCATCTTGACCATTGACAAGCATGGAACACAGGGATGTCTTGATGATTCTTGGAAGAGAGCTTCAAACAACGCTTTTCCTCTGTCTTGCTCTCCAGACTGGTGTTGACCGGGTTCAACTGTCGCGGTTCTATGCTCACCGGTCACGCGTTCGTCCAAACGTCAACACGGAGGCAGCTCCGAAGCTTCATCGGCGAGGTCTATACCGCAAAACGCCTCTTGGGTCTTCCATGGTCGACCCATATCATAGGTCCGGGGGAGGTTCGAGTGTTTGACATCGATTCACAGAGAGTTGAATCTTCAACAAACCCAGCTTTGATGTTTTGTTTCTTTTTTTGTGTTTCAAAATCATTGAAGGTTTTGGGACTCCAAGCCCGTCCCATCAAAGAAATGTTATCCCTTTTCTTTCTACTCAAAAGATTGTTTGGCTTGGGACGCCTCAAAGGTTTCCAGGAGCATGCGAACTCGCTCACAGAACATGTCATCCAATTGTTGTGATTTGAGACTCGGTGGTTGGCTTTGGTTCACTCGAAGAACATCTATGTAAGTGTCACACCCCAGTTGACACTTAGGGCATGTGCATTCAATTTCCCAATCATCGCGATGGTGTTTTGGTACCTTTGCTTTCGTCCTTTGGGACGTCTCCATCAATCCCCTTTCCCAGGTCCGGTGCAGAGAACACATCGGTTTTGAAGCCTTCAGAGGGCGGGACGGTCCCGACCGACGGGTCGAGGCCTGGAAGATCGCCGACGGGAGAAGGCGGCCCAACCCAGACGAGCTCTCCATTTCATCATGCAGGAGGGGGAGGGAAGGGGGTGATGGTCAGTCTTTGACCTAAACAATGTGGTTTGAACCAGGTATGTATTTTTCATTCTTTTTTCTCAGGTCTGGGAACACACATATATTTAAGTTCTCCTACAGTGGGCTTGAAGGTTGGATACTGAGCTTGCACTTGGGAACACCCGGTTGCTTGTGCTTCATCGTTTGAGAGCGTCCAGGAGATGTTGCGACGACAGCATGGGGTGAAATGCCTCGTGCACCAGAGGTCCTGGCAGCGCCTCGGCAGCATCTCGAAGCTCGTCCGGCGCGCGCGTGCGCTTGGCCGATGAAGACGGCGACCATCGGTTGGAGGCCGCTGCCCCGGAGGTGGTGTCATGCAAGTGACATCCGGTAGCTTGTTGTGTTCAGGGCTGACGTCAGGTTATTGGACCCCTCGTTCCTGAATATGACATGACGCCTTTTTCTTTGTAAGACTTTGTCTTGGCATTATGCAACACGAAGAAGTTGCCCCAATTTCCGTAGGTGGTCTGAATGAGTTAGAGACAAGTGCTGGCTTGATTCTGGGACGAAGTGATGAATCCTTCCGACATGTTTTTGGTCGGCTGACATAATATTCTTTTCATTTAGGATAGCAACCCCCACTAGATGGGACATTTGTCAGCTTCATGCCCAATATTCAAGACAGTGTATTTTATTCTTAGCCTATTCTTCGACAGTGGTTTCCAATTGTCATTTCAACATCACAAGAACAGTTCTAAACCTCCCTAATTGCAGGAGAAACATGGAAGAACCTCACTACGTGTGATCGGACCCACGTTTTTCTCCATGTTCTTCGGAGCTCGCCCACGACCTCCGCCCAGCTCGGCTCTGCACCACCCTCGAAGAGAGGAGATCGCACGTCCAAGGATTCTGGAGGCCGTTGCCGAGCATGCATCCGAGGCCGGCTGGGTCGCCTGAGGGGTGGGGGATGGGGTGAAGCATCACCATGAGGTGATGCGAAGCATCCCAAACCTCTCATGGTGGACCAAGGATGCTAAGGGGGAGGAGAAGAGTTGATGGTTTCAAGCTGCTTCAGACTGTAAAGGTTCATGACTCACTTGCTTTTCTTCCTGGTTTGAAAGCATTCCAATGAGAGCTTCCAGACCCTTTGACCGGTACAGGGCTGGTCGCCCTTTCGTGCCGTGCGCGCCTTGCTCACCTCACGGCTGTCCGTCCGCAGGACGTCACGGTGGGCCTCTTCGCAGACTTCTTGGATGGCACCCGAGATCTCGATGAGCTCGGGCCGCGGGACGGAGGAGCGGGAGGGTGACAGGTGACACCAGGTCGACATGAAGCCCGTGACTCAGGGTGGTGGTGGTGGTGGTGGTGGTGGTGCGGCCTGGTGGCCTGATCAGAAAAGGCTCTCCTCGGTGCAAGATGATTTCCCACAGACTTCCACAAGCCAATGGTCTGCTCGGGCGTTTTGGGGTCACCGAACCTTACTGTCTCTGTGTGAACCTGTGTTAGCACACATGAGTGGCACACAGTCGGCTATGAACATTGACATTTTGTCATATTTTGTCATGCTTCATTATTTAACCCAGCTGGCAACCCCAGTGGCAAAGCATCCACCACCAAAATAATGTGTTTTTCTGCGTGTTGTTCATTGCGTTGTTCTTTCACATATCGAATATTGGAAAACAAAGACATGTAGTATATATATATATATTGATATGCAATAACATAGTTTATACACAAATTGGTACACAAAGTTACAAAAACCGGTTCAATATCCAAGCCAAATGTACGTTCCGGGTGTTCGACGACGAAGCACGTAAGGAATGTGTGCGTCGAACTCTATGTTCAAGTGCCTTCGCATAGTTTGCACATGTGAAGAGCCATTTCAATACAGTAGCACAAGAGATTCACACCAAGACAAGACATTCGGAAAGACAACATTTTCTTCTGCGCCAAAATTGAGGTCAACGATAGAAGGTGGGAGGACATTAAACTAAACTCGTTTTGGCTTACCCTACAGGTATCACATGGGAATCCAACAGACCACCTTTGAACGGGATTTTTTGTGTTCAGCATCCAAGCAGAGGTTCCCCACACGAGCTTGGCCGTGGCCGGCACGAACTCACCAGCAGTTCCAGGGAACTCAGCGAGACCAGACTTGCCGAGGCTGTCCTTCTACCTCTACTGTTCCGGGCTGGTCTCGGCAGTGCCTGAGGAACCCCAGGCAAACATACCGCCCTCGAGGCTGCCCATGGGCTTGGTGGGGGAGCTCGGACTTGGGACCTTGGACTTGTGGCTACTCTTCCATGGGGAGTTTCAACCATTGCTTGGTGGTAAGTAGTAAAGAAGGAAGCTAGCCTCCAAGGGTGGTCTTCTTTTGGGGAGAAGCATCAAGAATTCAGGGTTCGGCGGGTCAGAACACCCCTTTTCAGGGTCCCCTTCAGATCCTTTCAGTCGGAACCTGGAAAAACACATCTCCCCGACTCTCCTTTGCTCCATCCTTCCACAGCCTCCAGCCAGTCCCGTCTCCACCGTCGTCCCTCGCCTCCCTCCCTCGCGAGTCCCGTCTCAACCGTCGTCCCCGACCGCGTCGCAGCCGCCGGCGGCGTCGCACGGCGACGCGCCGAGATCAGCGAGTCACGGTGCCTTCGACTAGTGGAGTTGCTCTTCTCGGACCTGCCGAAGGCATCCGCGATTGGGCGCCCCGTCGAGCTCCGAAAAAGAAGCCGGGTGGGAAACCAGGCTGCGGTGTGCAGGTCGGGCGAGGGTGCGGAGTGGAGTTCAGGTGGGAGGGGGGGGGACTAGGAAATTTGATGAAATTGGGTGGTATATATATATATATATAAGTTGCTACTCGTAGTGGGTGGTGTTTGGGTCGGTGATGGTGATGTTTGCAATGCCTTTTTGGCGATGTGGCTGGGGAAAAGGCTGTGGGGTGGATGTTGTGTTCTCAGTGCAGATTAGGCCATGATCAATTACAGTCATAGACAGTCGAAGTCAGAAGTGCTCCGTGACGTGCCTCATTTGTGCTCCGTGCGGCAAGAGACTATTCCGACACTCAACATACTCAGCTGAGCCTGGATCAGAACCAACCGAGGATTTTATCCGGTAGAGGGACAGAAACACTTTGTTTATTACACACTCAGTCACAGGGTTTTCAGTATCATAATCCACAAGGAAAGGAATGCACGAACGGAAAGATCGCGGGTCAGTCAACTTGTAGATGTTTTAGCAAAGTGTTGCAAAAGCGCTCAGCGAGAGGTCGGCAGTCTGCAGCTGCAATGCAGAGGGAAACCTGTTTGGGGGAGTAGCATGAGAAAACCGCCATGAAAGCAAGCCGAGAGTGGAACAGCGTGATCAACAGATCAGGGTGCAGGTACGTCAGCAAGCGTCCTTGCTGATATCAGCACAACCTGAAGAGCCTCTTTGTTAGATGCCCTCTCTTCAGGTGTGGGGCATCCCCTGCTCTATCATTGGGAAGAAAAAGGGAAAGTGGACAGTCGTAGAACAAACTTCTACAGACGGAGGGTGACACACACACAAAACGCCCCTTCTCGGCGCTTACTGCAAGGCGGATCTTTTGCCTTTCAAAAAGCGTTTGCACTCTGCTGTGGAATGCTCTTTGGCGATCTCTGTCAGGGGGAACAATGGGTGAAACAAATCAAGCCAAAACCAGAATCCAAAGAGTGCAGTAACGAGAATTCGATATGTGATACACGATGGCTTCAGCGCCTCTCTTGCGAGAGGATCACACTGTGTACCCAGTGGCAAGACACAGCGATACACACTTAGTCACAGGGTTTTCAGTATCATAACCCACAAGGAAAGGAATGCTCGAACGGAAAGATCGCTGTGTCAGTCAACTTGTAGATGTTTTAACACAGTGATATCAGCACAACCTGAAGAGCCTCTTTGTTAGATGCGCTCTCTCTTCAGGTGTGGGGCATCCCCCTGCTCTATCATTGGGAAGAAAAAGGGACAGTTGACAGTCGTAGAACAAACTAGAGACGGAGGGTGACACACAAACACACCCCCGCATACAGAGAGATGTTTCTCACGTGGACCATGCTAAAGCATGCTACCGCTGTCCCTTGTGCTCGCGAACCCGCAGGCCAAAGCTGTCGTGAAGGAAGAAATCGAGAAGCAGGCCACGGACTCTTTGCAAATACAGCTTGCAGATGCTTGCAGTATCCTCACTTGGCGTTCTATGATGGGACCTTTCCAGGCAATGGCTTTCAAAGGATTACAAGATGATCTTTTGAGGTGTTTCAGGAATCACAAGTCCTCTCAATCTAGATCTCCAGGCCCTTCAACATATCATTGGAGGTTCTTCTCCAAGAAACGTTTGGTTCCACAGACACATTCCCTCCTCTCTCCCCAAGTGAGTTCAGATTCTTAGCCGAGCTGCTTGCATACCCTTCCGAACTCTGAACAGTGTGCCCAATGGTGCCCGTCCGCCTTTACTTGACGTGTCTAGGAGGGGATGAACATCAACCAATACACTGTATATCAATTGATATCCGATCCAAGATCGAGCACAAGCGGGCAAACTCATACCCCTCGACACAGATCCTTCGCTGGCCACCGCGCGAGCCTGCAGTTGGGCAGTCGACTGGTGGAGAACTCCTATGAGGAGTCGAAAGGGAGATCTACAAAGGCTGAACAATGAAGTGGATATGGGTCAAGACCCGGAGACCCTGGTTGAACTGAACCCTGTTGAACTGAACCATATGGATTGCCGTCAACCTTACTTTGTTTTTGGGCTCCTCGCTCGCTGCAGAGAGGGATTCCACGATTGCATGAATTCCAAGACGGAATATACTGTAAGCAAAACCATGATATATATATATATATAAACTCCTGATCCGCGAAAACCACAGCTTACCGCAGATGCTCATTGCCTTGACACCCTTTGAGAGGTTTGTAGCCATGTTCATTGAGTGAGGATCATTGGCTTCAAACCACTCAAGGGCGATGCTGCCCTATTCTGCGCCTCCAGAACCAAGGAGCTCAGCTACATGGCCGAAGCCGACGGCATCGAAGCCGACGCACTGTCCCCACCTTGGGCACCGACGCGTCCCGCGTCCCGCGTCCCGCGCCGTGGACGTCGGGTCATCGGGACGTTCGCCGAGGGCTGGGGGCTCATTGGAGGGTTTGGGGCGGTACAGGGTTTTGGGCCGATGTGGCCGATTCGCCCCCATGAATCCAAGATGATCCCAGCATTCATGGACTCAGATGGACTCCTCTGATGAGCTTTTTGGATCGCAGGTCACTCACTGTTGGAATCCCTGCTGTGTTCAACGCCCCCCCCGACGCTCCGCGCTGTCGCCACGTTTGCAGAGCGACCGCTCCGCGTCAAGACGCGCTGCGCATGTCGACTGGTCGCGAGTCTCCGAGACGGTCGCTCGATTGGAGGGGGGACCGAGACCCGCGGTGGGCTGAGGTGTTATGCTTTGCTGGAAGGTTGGCGATTGATGTGACCTCAGAACGTGAGGTTGTGGCGTGCAACTAAAGACGGGAAAGTTCCAACAAAAAGCGCCCTTGACTCGTGGGGGTGGTTCATGAACTTGAATGCACTTTAGACCTGCAGATATTTGAGGCTGATTTGGAGGTGTTTGCAGAGCCTATGATAGATGATGTTTCAGTCCTTTTCTTTCACAACCCCCTGCACCCCTGAGTACTGTGAGGTGTTGCTTGCTCTTGAGCAAAAGCATGCCGCATTTCAACTGGCCCGGGCCTTAGCAGCGCACCCAGGGTCAATCAGGTCGCCCTTCGGACGTGCGTCGCGTCGGTTTCTGCCTGGGCGCCTCTGCACACCTCGCAGGCGGGACACGGTCTTGGCGTTCATTCAAGCGGATGTCCATGGCCGCGGCTGGTTAGATCCCAACGAGGCGCCGTCGGCCCGGCCGGGGGGGGGGTGGATCAAGTACGTCGAAGCGTTTGGCAGGCGCGCTGGGCGGTGGGATCGATGAGTCTGAAAGGACGTGGGTGAGCACCTTTCGATGTGAATTTGTTCACTTTCCAGCTTGGTTTTGAACCAAGGAGCCTTCCCCTTTTTGCGAGAAGTCGGACGAAATGCCTAGAAATCCAGGCACTTGCTGAACCCTCAATATTCATGAGGCTCGAAACTGCCCGCTCAGACGTGCACCTTCAAGAAGGAACGCAAAGAGTTTTCCACCATAGTCATCCCAGCTGTTTTGTTCTTCTCTGGTTTTGGGGAGTGTTCTTTTTCAAAGTTCACGGCCTTGTCAACTTGTCCAACCAACGGCAGGTGACAAAGGTGGATGCTCAGCAAGCTGTGCTCTCGCGCTGCTTGGACTAGCAAGTCGGGAGTCGGGAGAGAAGCGGTGGCCGAACATCCAGACTCTTGGAATCGGCTGAAGCTAGTCCAATCATCGATGGTGGATGATGAGCACCTTCGAACGGGACATTCCACGAAGAAAGAGCGGATCTGAACATGTGCCAACGAACACCAGACACATCCAGGACACGTTTGGTGTAGGGACCGGACGACCACTTGCACTCCGGAACCGCTACGTGGAGTCGAAGGAAGGGCACAGCACCGTGCTGTTGGTGAAACGACGTGCTGCTGGGTCACCCGTTGAACCACTTCCCCACCCCACATGGCCGGTGGAATGCACGGCGGTGGAATGCACGGCAAGGCAGTCGGGAGCTGCTGCCTGTCATGGAACAGACCTCGCGGGGCTCCTGGAAGTGGAACACAGGGAGCCTGGGAGCCGTGGATGGAAGGGAGGAGCGGGTCGTAGACCTAAAAACCAAGAACGCTCTGCTCTTGGGCCTGGGCCTACAAGCTGGTCCCCAAATAGATAGAAATGGTTTTCAAAGCTGTTTGAACGGGGGACCGACTTTTCTATCTTGTTTGGTGGAAATCGTCAATACGGATCAATACGGTACTTTGTGTGTTACTACTTTGAACCGATTCGCCTATTGTTCTTGGTCAGATCAGGGTTACACATTGGACACGGGAGATGGGAGCCCTGCCCGTTAGAGGGCTCCCTTCGCTGATTCGGTCGAAAAGACTCTGGGCGCATCTGCCGAACGACGAAAGAGGGTCAGTCGTGAACACTTTGATACTCACCTCCTCCAGGGTCGTCTGCATCCAGGGTCGTCAACACGACGAATGCGAGGGTGGAAGGAACCCTACCCAGACACGACCCATGGGACTGCCATAGGACTGCTGCCGCATTGACTTCCAGTCAACCACCCTTGGCCGGAACTCTCGGCAGTCCGACATGGCAGTCCCAGACGGGTCGTGTCTGGGCTATATATTGTATATATCGCTTCTCCTCCTTCGACGACGAAGCCGAGGTCCTCCGGTCACAACCCTCGACCGAGGCTGGGCGCCTTCGTGTTCCGGATCCTGCAGCACCTGGGGGGCCTCACCGAGGCCGGAGGGAAGCCGGGGGGGGGGTTGGCTTTCGGGTTTGGTTCGTTGAAGCCAAGCGAAAAGGATGGCGGGTGAAGCGGGTGAAGCGGGTGAAGTGACGAGAGAGTCACCAGAGGATCCACAAGCGAAAAAGATGTGAGAAGCTGAGCGAAGACGATGTGAGGAGGGGCATGTGATGACATGGCGGCTTTTGACCGCCATGAGAGGGCAGTTGATGGTGAGAAGACAGCTCCGAGTCAGGGAGGTGTCGTCTGGGGCTTTTTGAGGTCAAGAATGCCTCTTTTTCCTCTATGAAAGATGGGTGCCAGGTGCTTTGCTGGAGTGTTGTTAGGGCTTTTCATGTATGAAACACAGGGCATGCGATGGCAAACGGTTGTGTCCATATTGTGGGAAAAATTGGAAAAAACATACACACAGTCACACAGTGTGTGATGCTAGAGTCCGCACTTGGCATGTCCTTGAAGCTTGCAATGTGATCAACGACATGCATTTCACGCACATGCAGCTGCGTCGAAGCTACAAAAGGTATCAACATATGGATCAACCAAATGAACCCACGCCCCCACCAATATCAGAAGCTTGGTTGAGTCTAGACGAGCACTTTAGTTACTAGGACCACTGTCATTGGCTTTCTTGGAGTTGGAAAAAAAGGTGACCGCCCTCCTTTCTCGTTCCTCAACATAGTGACCAGGCTCTTTGCTTTGGACCCCAAGTAACTCTCAACAGCCGTCCAGGGAAAAAGACGCTAACAATGCTTGTGCATGCAATTTGCATGCTCGGAATTTTCGCATATGCCTGTTTTGCCACACAGGCATCCCTGAAAGAAGACGTTGTGGCAGAGCTGGACTCTCAGACGGTCTCGGTCCGGACGCTTCCTCCCGAGCCGTAGCACCGTAGCGTCTTCCTGTGCCGTCCAGCGGAGGGCACCTCCCTCTCAAGTCGAAGGAAAGTCGTCTTCCTCTCGGGGGGCCTCATGCGTTTTCCACTTCCACGTGATTGTGATCCTCTTTGTACCTCAGTCCCGTGTGTTTTTCACGAGTCGCGGGTGATGTGAAACCGTTTCGACCATCGCCGGGTGTTTCACCGAACTCGGAACGCGTCCGTCTGACCGGTCTGCACCGAGTGGAATCGGACGAACCGGAAACGACCATTCTCGGAAAAGTCCCTGGAGAAAGATCCCTGGCCCAAGCCCCTTGCAGACGCTCCAGAAGCGCCACCCTCCACACCTGCCGGCTCCGCCCAGTCCACCGCGGCTGATTCCAAACACTGAGAGCTGTCCATTTGCACATCAGTTGCCCTCCCTCACCTTTGAATTGACATTTCTTTGCTATGCTTGATGGGGTGTCCTTCTTTTCTTCCAATGGAGTTTGGAATGCACTTTCTTTGCAATCCTTTGGATTTGATTTCCCTGTCTACAAGGCCAAGGTCAATTTAAGAATCCTGGCTCCTTTGTATTTTCATGGATTTTCATATTCAAGAGTCTCTTTTGGGGGGGGTTTCCGCCTCTATGAATTCAAAAGGCAATCTTGTTGGGTAGAAAGCTCGCCCCCTCGGCATCTTGTGCACTTAAATGCATTTGTCACTTGCATTTACCACCCTCGCCAGGGTCCCAATATGTCCTACTAGTTGAAGTGACGTTCTTTGTTCCAACAACTTGGACACTCCGCGACTCCGGTTGGGCCTTTTTTTCGCCCCGCAGTTTTTTTGTTTCCATCTCCAATCTGCGTTCGCTGCCGCTGCAGGATGTCCCATGATTTGGGTCTTGGAAAGAAGGAGCATGAGGTCGGGCCAAGCTGTTCGCTGTTCGCTGTTCAAAGGAGAACGCCCTTGCTTCTTCGACGTGAACTCGGATGGTAAAAGCTGCATGATGCTACCTCTTCAGACCGAAGCCCGCTTACCCGGGGGTTCTGATAGAGATTGATGGATGAAGTACACCATTTGATAGAGAGGGAGACAACCCCTTTAGCCCAGCGAGCCACACGAGAGGTTAGAGGGTCAAATTCTTGTGTGTCACGTTCTGCAGCACTCCAAAGTTGCAGTTGACTGGAGTATGTATCGACTGCATTCTGCCAGGCCTGCTTTCGACTCTGCCGGGTGCTCAGGTGGTGGAAAGAATTGCTCAGAGATTGGGTTGTTATATCTTCCAAGCCACACTCCCAAGTACAACTCAGTTGGCAAGTCTCCTTTCTAACCCCTCATGGCCTAATTATATAGGCCATAAGGATCCCAAAGCAGAGACCACTTGGAGACCCAACCTCCAACCCTGCTGGTTGAGGGACGCTCCCGAGCTCAAGGATTTTCAGAAGACCTCAGAATTCGTCGGGTTGGGTGATTCTGAAGGGGCCATTTTTGTGACTTTTGGGGGATGGATCAAACATGGAGCCTGACCAGCCCACCGTGTAGCGAAGGACCGGCCTTGCACAACTGTTTCCAGTGGATACTTACCAGTGTACTTACCATACTCCTCAGTACCCGGAGCTGAAAGGCTTTTCAGCGCTCAGAGAGGGTCAAGCGCTCTCCGCCCGGGTGTGGGTCAAGGTCACCCTGGTGCCACCGCCATTTCAGACGGTGGGAGTTCTTCCTCCGGTCGTCGCTCCTTTCTGGGCGACTTCCGGCTGGAATGGATCGGCTTTCTGTAGAAACGGGGTCTTCCAGGTGGAGAAGCCCTTTTATTTGGGGATCTAGCCGAGTTGGTGCTCTAGCACTGTGAAGCGTTCTTGAGATGCCCTGTAACATGGCCCGAGAAACATGTGGTTGTAATGTGGGTCTGGGAACACCTGGCACCACAAAGGACCTACCTGGTAGTCTGAAGAGCCTTCAAATTACATCTCCCAACACCCGCTCTAATCAAAAAAGGCTTCGGATGCCCCAACTCTGCACTCCAAGTCTGCCAAATCTGAGGATCTTCCCCCCTCTTCCTTCCACCTCTTCCACCTGCTTCGTGTCCACCCCTTCCTTTCCAAGGTCAGGTGGCCTTCGGCTCACTCGAGCGATCTCTCGGCGTCCGGGGGCCCCGGAATCGGGCTCTTGGCCCGGGCGCTTCGGGCGCCCGGGCGCTTCGGGCGGTTTGGAGCCCCGGATGGCGGCGGTTTGGAGCTGAAGAGTTGGTCCATGGGGTCCGCGCTGTCTGATGTCTGAAGCACTTGTCCGTCCATGTTTCACCCTTCGAGATTCGGAGTCATGTGGAGCCAATGTGGACGCGAGCGAGCTATGTGTGCGACAACAGGATGCGAAGCATGGGTGTTACATGGCTGATGATATAGATCGACATGATGCCCCAGGCAGTCTCAAAGGGTTATTGCAGTTATTGCATGTCCATACATGGCCATCTATTTGCAGAATCACTATAGCATACTATAGCTGCGAGTGCATGTTCATACCTCCAATGGGCCCAACATGTTTGACTTCCATGTGCAGCTGCTTCTGGACTTTTGGTCAGCAAGTATTGATCCAGGTCGTCTCCTTCAAGTGTCTGTGGCCCAAGTGCAGGTCCAGTATACGGCACTCGAATATGCTGGCTCGAACCTATGAACTCTCCGGTTCTACCAGCTGTTGCCCTGCAGTGCCCTGCTGTTCCCCAGTCCAAAGAAATCCCACAGATTCTATCAGATTCTCATTTTGTCCTTGACATTTCAACTTTCGGACCTCCACGCTGATGGGTGCCCAATAGTTCACTCCAACCACCATCACTCGTTCTTGGTGACCTGGTCGATAGGCTCGGAAGACAAACCGCCGCAGGTCTACTTGAAATGGCTCCTTCACAGCGAAGAGCCTCGAGACCGTTCAGTGTCCGTCCCCCAAGCACCCAACGACGGCGGAGAGGTCCGGTTCGGTCGGATGACGCGGAGAACGAACGGAGAACGGTCGGATGGCAGGAGCCTCGACGTCAGGGTAGGTGGACCTCCCTGTAGGTCGTCCATTCTGTTTCCATTGATGAAATTATAACCACTTAGCATCAGATCTCTCATGGTTTTGCAACAAAAAACCAAGCAAAGCAACCGTTCGCCTGGGCGCGTCTCCCTCGTCCGTTCGAACCGGTCGAAGCGGTCGAACCCGGTGCCCCGGTCCCGGCGGAGAACGGCGGGAGAACCGAAGGATTCGGATGGGCGCGTCGGTGAGAGTCGAAAGTCTGTTTCGGATGTTGATGGGTTCGGGGAGAGTCGTGACGTTAAGGGGCAAGACTAGACTAGACTAGTGGACGGTATCTGCACGATGTAAATGGACGGTATATGCGGATCTCCAAGATCGATGGGATATCTGCGGCAAAGATTCAACCCCACAGGCTTTAAAGTCAAGATCAGTGAGAAGCGGCATGCCACTGTGCTGCGGCACCTGTCATTTGCAGCCCACAATCCAACTGGACTCTTACAACCGGAAACAGCCCGCTTGAGAGGGTTTTGGATTGCATCTCGGCTGCCTTGCCTCCATCCTATGGCAAGGACGCAGCTGTCGGAGTCGGTGGAGCAGCGACACATGGCTTGTGGTCCTTGGCCCATGTTTTTTTTTGCAATGTGCTCAAAACTTTAGCCGAGAACCTTTGTTGCCGCTGATGGATCCGCTTGCTTTGGCATGGTTTGCTGCAGAGGCTACCAAGGTAGCCGACAGGTTTCGCCTGCCGTTGGATGGGGTTGTCAGATCGCCTTCACAGCGACTTCTTCATGTCTTCTGCAAACCCTACGGAAGTGGCTGAGTCTGCCACTTAAGCTTAGCCGTGTCAAATTGGCCGGGCGGTTCAAGCCCTGCTGTTGGAGCCGGTTCAATCTAAAGAGGGCTCCGGAAGTCGGCAGGAGATGCCCCTCAACAGATGTGGCCGAGCTGCGTCGGAAAGAACGGTGTGTCTGTTACGTTTGCGTTCGCTTTCGCAAAAACCTTCGCGGAAAACAAGAGCAACACATGTTACCTCATCATGCACAGGCGGCGCGCGCATGATCGGAAACAACGTGCCTAGGTAAAGCAGTGGCTGTGACAGAACATGTGTGTTGACATTGTATGCCTCGTTTCGATGCAAGGGAAAGAATGGAACTTTCAGTTACATGAAACTTTAATGTTTGCCAAAGAGAGTGTGTCAGCTGTGAAAGTGCACCGGATAAGGGCCACCTATACGTGGACAACCCCACAACGGTGGATGATAAGGGCCACTTGGACAATGCATGCAACCGTGGATGATGAGCACCACCTACACTTGGACAGCCCGACAACATCCGACAACGGTGCATGACAAGGGCAACCTACACTTGCACAGCCGACCAGCCACTTGCGGCCTACTGCAAATGCATGAAGTCGGGGTGCGGGTCGCTGGTCCACTGGTGGTGCTCGAAACCAACGCAAAGCCATAGAAGATGCGTTAGCTGTCTCGTTTCTGAACAGGCGCCAGTTGCGTTGCGAAGCCTAACATTCCTTTTTATCCTTTTCTATTTTGACCTCTTTGGCAGAGATGTGCAGTGCAGGGGTCAAAAGCCTTGAAGCAGTCCCACATTAATCTCGTATATATTCGATGCTCCTTCCTTCCTTCCTTCCTTCCTTCCTTCCGAAACGAAGGCATTGACTCATTGTACGTCCTCCACCCTCCTGGATTGGGCTGGTAGTACTTGGTAGAGTACATGCGTGGAGGTAGACAGACAGGGAGCGCGTGAGCGGCTATATTTCCAGTTGGATGCTACAAAGCAGGAAAACTCGTTCATCAACACAATGTGTCGCTTACCTCCAGATTCAGGCCAGTTGCTTGACGCTTGTGGCCGCAGTCCCTCATATCGCGCCGAGGTACAAAAGCGTGAAGGCCCGGATTTTTGCCATCAGGCGAGAGCGAGCGGGCCATGGAAATGGGTGGAGGCCTAGGACGGAAAAGGTCGGACGGTGGTGAGTCCGTCCATCACGCTTCGGTGTTTCCACCATTCCTACCACTCAGGAAATGCTCAACTGAGAGGAGTGCTGGTGCAGGAAAGTTCATAATATTATATATATCCTAATTTACCCTATATATAATCAAATCCGACCACAGCAAGTTCACACATGCATTAAACACATGAGAGGTGAAACGTAAGAACCCAATCATGACTCAGCAAGCCGCTTGCGGATCGAACCGATGGCATGGACCCAAGATCATGCGTTTTTGAGTGCCAAACTTAAGGGCGGCTAACCCAATGAATCTTCTAGGGTATGGTCCTCAGAATCCTGTTCCTGTCGCTTGTCAAACTCCAAAAAACTAATATGGACCGGGTCAAATGGCACCCTGAAAGACTGTTTTCCTGTACAAACCAGTGGTTTTCAGGGTCCATGTTATTTATCCACGGGGTACTTTTTGTTCAGTGCCACACTTTGGGAGTCTCTTTGTGCTTCTAGGCGTGCTGCGAGCTTGGGCAAATCCTGGCCACTGATCCACAATCTCCGGTCAGCGCGTCAGAGGTGATTTGCAAACTTGGACACCGGATCAGCTTCCATTCTTTTTGGAATGGAACTTCAGACTGGTGTGAAACACGGGTTTCTTATGGCTTCCTGGCGGAGTGTCATATGGATGTTCTGGGTGAACGCGGTAATCTGCGTGAAGGCAGTGCATCGCCATGCGCTTTGCCCAGGTGTTTGCTGGTCCTGTTGCTCAGCCATCAATTTGATTTGCAGCTCGTCCGAGAGGAGGCCCGACTCCATCGAAAAGCAAGAGCTTACGAAACAACTCCCGCTTGGAATAAGCGAAGTTGGAGTGTCTTCAAACTGTACGTCAAGGTTTTGACTTGCATTCATGATTTTCATTACGAAAGCCAGCCTTCGTAGAAGGCGCTAGCGGAGTTGTGTCTGGCGAACGAAGTGAGTAGTTAGGGGGTCTGGGGGGGTGGCCCGAGAAAGGTATATGTCAACTCAGCACATGCTGGGGGAGGAGGGTGCTCCGAGGGAAGGTTTTTTGAGGTTGTGTTGGAGGTGATTTTTGAGGGGTGGTGATGCAAGAAATGCCAAACGCATCATTTGCATCATCTGAATCGAAAGGTGTAGTTGGCACCTTGCAAGGTAGAGAGACCTAGGGTAGCTATAGTGCAGCTACCAGGTATAGTACTTCAAGTTCCCTTTCCGTCAACCGCTTGAGAACCTCTACACACGCACAGCAATCCACAGCCTTGAAGTCTCATTCGTGCTTTGAACTTGTATAGGTGTGTAAGAGGTATAGCAACATACATACTATTTATACGGACCCAGGGTAGCTACAAGTAGCTACAGTTCTGGTATGGCGCGCATGAGGCTTCAAAGCTGTGGTTTTCAAGCTAAAGTCAAGGTGGCCTGAGACCAGGGTTTGCTGCCCTAAAACACTCTGTTCAGGCCACCTTGAAAATAAAGGTGTAGTTGGCACCTTGCCAGGTATAGACACCCAGGGTAGCTATGTAGCTGTAGCTGTGGTTTTCAAGCTAAATTCAAGGTGGCCTGAGACCACGGTTTGCTGCCCTAAAACACTCTGTTTAGGCCACCTTGAAAATAAAGGTGTAGTTGGCACCTTGCCAGGTATAGACACCCAGGGTAGCTATGTAGCTGTGGTTTTCAAGCTACTAGCACATTCAAGGTGGCCTGAGACCACGGTTTGCTGCCCTAAAACACTCTGTTCAGGCCACCTTGAAAATAAAGGTCTTGTAGCTACAATTCTGTTCCCAGGTATGGCGCGCATCAGGCTTCACAGACAGTGGAAATAGCTTCTTCCCGGCTTTGCACTGCGAATCAGACCCACAAAAGCGCTGGCTTTTGTTTTGCAGCTTCTCAGGTGATATGTACATGTTTTTTTTGGTTTCTGTCCTCCGCTAGGATTGAAAGAATTCACCTCAGATATGTACCAAACACACCATGAAACCATTTGACAAGGCACTTGAAGCTCTGCTGTGTTATGTTCCCTAGTAGAGAACGCGACTTTTTGAGTTTCACAACACTGGTAACAACGAAACACATCGAAACACCTTGAATCACTCCCAGCAATGCTCCGCATTGAACGCAGGCCCAGCCAGAACACGTGGGATGGGAATTGACGGTGCGGAGTCTCAGCGCTGGGGGAGACCGTCGTTTTTCTCTCTGGGCTTCAACATACAATTCAAAGTCTCGGCATCAATGGAAAATCTATGGTTTCAGCTCTATGTTGCTGTTCTGATTTGATTGGCTCCCTTTGAAACATTTGTGCAAGGAGTGCTGTAAACCAGGTCGCCCACTAGATTTGTGGCACTTTAAACTAGAAAGGTCAAACTCGTGGATTCAGGGTCCCTAATTAGAGTTGAGTATAAACCTCTCTCTCTCTCCCTCCCTCCCTCTCCCTCCCTCTCTCTCTCTCTTTCTTTGAAAGCCAGAGGTGGGATCCAACGGAGACTGTATTCCACCTACACGACCTCCCCCACGGTTTCAGATGTAGGAACAATATTAGTAACTATACTTCGCGACGCCGACGCCACATGGCCGCCATGGCGGCCGATGTTTTTCGACATGAGGCGCTCCTGCAAGTCCTTCGTGAGAGTTGGAGGACGACCGGTCATCGTCCGCCGTCGTTGGGTGACCCAAACAACCGCCTTTCTGAAAACACCCGCTCAGACTGGTGAGATTTCGTGGTAAGACTTCATTCGGCTTCGTTCGGGATCAACGTTCTGGGGTGGTGTAGATCACAGGTCTCCGCAGGTTGAAGCTTAGGGTACGTTTGACCTCTCATTTCTGCTGAGGTCCATTTATGCTCGCTATGCGAACGCATCATTTCGGGTCGAGTACAGTCGAAAGCGACGGACCTTTTAGAACGCAGTGAGAGATCCATAAAAAAGTGGTGGGCATTTGGTGGCTGGGTCTTCATTCGTCCGCGATGGCTTCATTGGCTCGATTTCTTTGATTCTTGGTTGTTGCTGCCGCGCAGGGGAGCTCGTACCTTTTGATGGGTACAGCAGCGTCAAGCCAGCGACAGTACTCCAGCCATAGCTTGGCTGCAGATCTGGCGCTTGGGGAATCTTCAGGACGCAGCTTTTTGTTGCCTTCGCGGATTCTCTCGAGTTAAGATTCCTATTGACCAGGTCTTGGCGCAGCGCCGGGGTCCGTTTTCATTTTCACGCGCTGGCGGCGCCAAAAACCATGCGTCGGGTCCTCGGTTGTGTCGTGGACAGGCTCTCTGTCTTCGCCCAGAAAGAGGCCTCGCGGGTTGAGCCTGCATTGGATCTACGCCGCAGAGGTGAAAGTTTGGGCAAGTACTGCTGGCGGGAACTTCGAAGAAGCGTTTGGTGGGTGCAAGACTTCGCTCCATGAGCCAAGCTTTGAGAACATGATGTTTGCTGGGCCCCTTTCTGCTACGACCATCAAGGTGCTGATGCGAGGCATGACACCTTGGGCGAAAGCGGCCGCCCTAGCTGGGCCCTGGGCCGCCAGGGCAGGAAGAGCACGCGGTCTTTAGACGAAAGGGGGCGTTGCTAGCTAAGGCATGTGATGCCGTCGTGGATGGTGATGGCCATGATGTGTTTGCATTCACCGAGAGTGGGCGTTTGCAAGAGGCTGGTGGAAGCTGGCGTTGCGGGCAGCAAGCTCGTGCTTAGCGATTTGCAGTGGGGATCTAGGGCCAGCTAAAGCAAGGGAACATGTGCTTGGCAGTGGTCCCTCATGTGGAGGGGACATGCAGATTGCGACGAAGCTAGGTCTGTAGTAGACAAGTTCTTCGAGATGGCAGTGCCAGCCCACGATCCAACCACAACTGCGGGGGTCTTCGAGCAAGTGTGCAGCGGCAGCTACGTTGCAAGGCTTGCTGCCCAAGCTTGCTACTTGCAAGGCCATAAGTTTGAAAGGCTTGTTAGGCGCTTGGAAAGGGCTCAGCTTTGCTCACGCGTGGCAAAGAACGCCTGTGGCACGCAAGCTGTAGCAAGCCTCGCAAGTACATAAGGTTGGGGAGTGCTTTGGGTTGAGCGGCGCAGAGGTCAAAAGTGTTCTGGTCGCTGCTGCTCAAGCCATGGAAGGGCTGTAGGCAAGTGACAAGTGACGCGGTGATTCGGTTGCGTGTGCAGCCCTAAAGCAAACTTTTGATCTATATAGTCTCTTTGATACCTGGGAAGACCTCTCTAGGTTTTAGACATTTTGAGCCATTCATTGAAAAGACGGTCAATTCAATAATCAGAGTTGTGGTTTTGAATTCCCCGCACATCTTGTTGAACAATCAAATCGAGGAAGTCCGTCGGAAGTCCTAGGTTCGTCAACAGAGCCTTGGTTCCAAGCGAGTTGGCTTGTGGGGAACCCGCCAAACACAACCCTGGATGCACTGCACATCTATGATACTTGTACCTGCTAAATAGAAGCACCACGACATCAACCAAAACAGTTTGCATGCAAGAATGTGAACACCACAGGTGTTCGATGAGTTTGTAGATGGCATTGACTTCCAATCTTTGACCTTGCATGACCTTGCTAGTTTTGCTAGCCTTGCCCAAGTTCTATGAAGGATGAAGCAATACACGCCCCCAGCCACCTGCCAACTCATGCTGTTGACTGATGAATCACAACAAACCTATCGTCTACAGGACCGCTTTACACCTACCTAGGCCGGCCAAGTTACCGTCCCGCCAGCCAGCCGTGTTTCGTGGCTCCAGGAGGGGTGCCAGTGGTACTGAAGGGGTGGACTCCGGCCCAGACTTCGGTGCGGAGCTGGAAGAGGCTCCCAGGGCCATCGAGCGAGTCGGGTGGGTGTGACCAGGGGGAGCCTTCATTCAGGAACTGCTGGGCAGCGGAGCTCCGAAGACGGCGTAAGAGTTCAAAAGGTTCCGCAGCGTCCTTTCAAAGGTCAGTTTGTGTGTGTGTACCCTCTGGAGTCACGAGGTTCCTTTTGGATTGTATTTTAGTTTGTATTTTTGCAGGGGGACACAGCACCAGATTGCAGACCGTGTCTAACAAAACTATGCAATCTGGTGGGATATCCAGCTTGGCCAGCTGGACGTACCTGCAACAATTTTTAAGATTTCGTAAAGGTCTAATGAGCTCGGCAGTCATGAGCGGACGTCGTCATCCTGTCGTCTCGATCTCGCCTTGCGCTTTTGGACCTCTCTCCTTTTGAAGACCTCTAGGCTCTGGTGGTTCTTACTTGTACCCTTAGGAAATGGTTACTTAGGCCGGCGTGTGGCAACCGCTTTCAAGTCAGTACGCATAATCTTGAGTGTGTGTGGGTGTTTTTTTGAGGTCCTGTGTTCGTGATGTTCATGATTGACACAGAAGCTCCATTCTCAGTTCCCTGGTATCCTTCTAATGTTGGAGCAATGTGCCTCGCTCAGCCTCCCCTTTTCGTGCCGGGGATTCGCTTATGATAGACATGTCTGATCGCATCAGAGAGCTCATGGGATGTGGGCCCACGTTAACCCTGAAGTGTTCTTCTTCGAGGAATTTGCTTGTCAATCGAGGATGTTCGCAAGAACTCTTAGATGACGACCACGCAGGTGTTTCTTCTGCTGGCACCACAAAAAAGATCCTTTTTGCTCGACGTCCATGCAAGGATGACGTCCACGAAACCGCTTCCAACCAGCAGAAATGGTCTGGGGTTTGATTCTGGCTTTGTTTGATTTCGATCCCCAGCCGCGCTTCCGGACGACCCGAGGGGCCGAGGGGTCGCAGAACCCGCCAGGTGGGCGAGCGGTCCGAGCTGCGGGACGACGCTGGGGACCGGTCGGGGTCGGAAGCGCGTCCGGTGAGCGGCAAGGAACGGGCGGTGTATTCCGTGAGTTTCACCGTGGGCCAAAATTCGGCTCAAGATTGACGAGCTTCGGGTGGTCAAGTCATAGAGTTCGGTTGGGGTCAATCCGGTGTATATAGACGAGTCATAGAGAATCATGATATAAATCTCATCCAGATGAGGTTGCAGCACTGAGAACCCCCCTTTGGTTGCATATTGGTTCCACAAGCACGTTTGCATGGTTTACTTCGACTGTTCTAAGATGATGGATGTGCCACCAGTCTCATGTGACACCACCAGGCACGACACAGCCAGGCATGTGCATATGCTTTGTACAGACTCACGTGGATTTTCCACCGAACTCTCCACAAGGAGGGTTCAAAAGGCTTTCCGTCCAACAAAATAGTCCAGAGACGATTCGGTTTGCACCTGCACAGCCAAGCACTTGGCGAACTGGTCAAGCGTACAAGCACTTGGCGAAGCATCCATTTTTCGTCGCTACCGATGGCAAAAGCACTTGGCATTGCTACAGTCTGTGCAGGCCTATGGCCTATGACCTCATCTGATTCACAGCAGCCGAGTGGCTCAAGCTTTCAAGACTGGGCATCGTCAAGATGGGTTCGCAATGAGTTCCCCAGGCCCTCGTTTGAGTCCATATTGACGCACGTTTGTATCTATTGGATACTCTTTTTTCTGACCCTGCCCCCTAGTCGGCCAAGCCTGAGGACTGAACTGGAGGCAGAGACTCAAATCTTTTCCTGCACAAAAAGACCCTACAAGACGTGTGCCTTGGACTTCAGGTGTCTGTGCACCAGAATTATCGCGCATCTGAGCACCCAGAAACACCGGTGACATTGTCCAGGCACGCATCACAAAATTGCAGAACATCTTTGAAGAAATGAGCACACCTTGTATGAGAGCATCTGATGACCCAATGGCTTCGCTGGTTTTTGAGCTTGAGAGATGAAGGTCTCACGAGTTGAACAACGCATTCAAAGGCACAACAGTGTCGGACATAGTTGCACTGTTGAGGGAGACATGGCAGATATGATAAGACTCTGATTAGACCCTGTTTCTTATTTCTTTGTATACTTGAAGAGGAGCTGATTCGGGATTGGTGCGTTTGGGAGATCTGAATGTCCACGATCAAAGGGCTTCGGTTCCAAGAATCCAATCGAAGCGAGAGATGCAGCTGCGCCAGCGGGCGGCGCTCGCAGCTGCGCAAAAAACAGCGAGCAGCTGATCCACGGCACGTGGGGGAGCTTCCCTTGATGGGCCTTGCACGATGGTGTGGCTTCTCTCGGTGTGGCGGCCTTGCATGCTGGGCCTGGTGCGGGACTTAGGCGTTGGGAAGACTCACTCCTGGCTTTGAATGGGGAAGAACAAGATCAACTACGGGAGGGTGGAATGTAGTGGTTACGAATTGATATGTTATGACAAGGAGACATCTCGCAAACTCTCGAAAGACATAGGAATTCATATAAGAGACACTTCTGGACTGTCTCTCGACAGACTGTTTGGAACCTTGGAGCACTGAGGTGGTCTACAAAGCAGCATCGAAAGAACTCAAGTGCCGCTATTGCCTTGCAGTTGTTTGATTAGAACATGACCCACGACTGGTGGGTGACTCATGAACGATGTGGACCTCGAAACCCTGCTGAGTCACGGTGTTTCGGGCGGCTTTTAAAGGTTTCTCAGTTGGACCGTCAGACCCAGATCCATGGCCTATGCAGTTGGACCCAGATCCATGGCCTCTTGAGTTGGACGAAGTTGAAGGCCCAAGAGTTAAGCCAAGGAACTTAATATCAGATGATTCATCGAAGACTCCTGAACGTCGTGGCCGAAATTCCAGGAACTCGACGATCACCCCGGGGGTTTCTATAGATAGGATCGAAGACACAGAAACGCTTGGGGTTTTCTTTGAATTCCAATTCTCAGGAAAGGCTCTTTCTATCTCTTTCTTCCACTTTGGTGCTTTCCAGCGGTGCCGTGACTCGCCCGCCACCGACACTCCCTTGGCTCCAAGTGCGACCGGTGGTGCTGAAGTCCGTCCAAAGAGAAGGCCAAGCTAAATCAGACTGCCAAGCTCCTAAATCAGTGCCACATTTGATGCAACAAGTTGAGGCGGAAGGGGTGAGCCCAAGTTGAGTCAGCAGCCATTCTTCTAGGAAGGTGGATTTGCGCTCGGTATGGCGGCTGCCTCTTCGAGCTGCTCATGCTTTTGCCAGGCGAGGAGCTGTTTCCGACGCCGCCAGGAGGAAAGCTGGTACACTTTGGGCTTTCTTTGCTTCGTTGTGTGGACCACAGTTGCCTTTCGGCCTTGAGGTGAAAGGCCAGATTGCTGAACAATATGAATGGATCTCGTACCCCGATGCACACATACGCCTGAGAGTAAACAGTGAAGACGATGTGAAGACAGACCATCAGGATCCATCAGGCACGCAAAGAGAGACAGCCACCCCCTCAACTACCTAACTAAAAGCCTGGCCTGACTGGAACCAATCATATCAGTGGCAAATGCGGCAGCTATGGCAGAAAGTCCCAGGTGCCAAGATGCCTCTCCAAAGATACCAGCATTCCTGGTCTTTTTTTGCGTTTCATCCGCACGTCCCGTTGCGGCGAAGTGCAAGCAGCATCAACTGAACCATACTACTGTCTAGGACCCTACCAAGGTGTCCTATCAAAATACGAAAACAACCCATGTTGTCCAACTCTTGGTGGTAAATTCTGTGCACCGGCCTGGGGGCGGACCTGGTGGACTGCTGAGCCTGCTGTACTCCACGGAGTCCGCGGGCGTTCGACCTGGTATCTGAGCGGATTGAGACGATGAGACCTTTGAAAACAAATGGTTCTGGTCCTGGATGACCCTTTCGTCTTCAGATCTTCCTTCCGCCATCCGAACTCGAACGGCTACTGTGGCCGGCCAATCCTTATACAAGTCATCACTAAGGAAGACTGAGCCAAGAGTCTTGACGGGGGTATAAGGGGGTATAAGTCCATCTCAGCAACCGTTCGATCTTTTCTTTTTCGGCTTGGCACACCGGAAGTGGGTGGACACCAAAGATGGACCGTCAACTGCACCATGCGGACACCGTGCGGCCGCGCAGATCCTGGATGTTTCCTCATGACTGTTGGAACGATCCTTGGATTGATGAAAGGAGTGTCTCGAAGAAACAGCTCAAGTGGTTGCGGAAAGGGCAGCAGATGGCCACCAGACGCTTTGAAGCTAAAGAGATTCTTTTTGGAACAACCATCCAACAATCGGTTCTCATTTGGCCGTGCGAATCGGCTCGAGCTCTTTGGTCCGCCCCTCCTGTCCTGTCCGTGCACGGTAGGAGAGAGGGATCCCTGGGCTTGCGCGAAGACCATGCTTGTGTGTCTATTGGTCCACTTGTTTTGCAGAAGCGCTACTGTCCAGTAAGATCCTTTTCATTCTCACCAGCTGATTGCTCATCAGCAGAATCCCTACAACAATCCCCATGTGTTGTTGGGAAACAAGTTTGGGCCATCCTCATGTGTATCACTCAAGAATAGGTGCCCGCCGGACAGTGCCCTCCAAAGCCATGCATCTTCCTTCGGACTCCTTCTCTCGGAGCAGTTTCGTTCGGACTCTCACTTATATTATAAGTTTAGGTCATGTAACGTGTTTGAATGCATTTTCATCGCTGCCGATGTGCCTTGGGTATCCTTGGAGAGGCGCTTCCCTCTCCGGACATCCACCGAGACCTTGGTCGGTTCGCACCGAGACAAGCGAAGCGTCCGAGGAGATGGCAACAAGCACCTGCTCCTTAAAGTCCATCTCTCAGTGGAAGAGTCGGTGGAAGATGAAGAGCACCTGCTCCTTTCGATGTTTCGTGGGTTTGAGCGGAGAAAATTGGATCAAAAGCTTCCAGGATCTTCTTGCAGTAAGAGCACTTCTCACTTCTCTTCTTTTTTTCCGGGCAGGCATACGTCATGCGTTTGTGTTGGGCAGCGAATCAACGATGCGGCTTGAAGCACACATAACCAGCTGCTGCGGCTTCTGGCACGCGTATTCCTTCCAGAGAACAGGTGCTCAGGGCACGCATCCGCGAAGGGATCCCATGCCCAGATACTGACGACAGGGTTCTGTCCGGATCTTTCGATGACTGACAGGGTAGGGGAGTCCCATGAGATCCGCAAATCGAGACCTGAGGCCTTGTCTTGGCTGCTGCGAAGGCCCGGCCAGCCACGCCGCGCAGGGAGGAAGAAGCCGCGCGCGCGCGCGGCGCGCGCGTCTGGCCGCCGTGAGGCGCAGGGTGCTGTTTTTGGAGGGCGAACCAAAGATGCCAAAGACCCAGGGACCTGACCCTTGTTTTCCACGGAGGTGTTCCGCTGTGGTGACATCGTCACTCACGGCAATTCTCAAAGTATTGAGCCATGGCCATCTTTGTGATCGTTAAGTTCCACCTCCTCAGACACTTGGACATCAGGTGACCCATCTCCGGTCTGCTCGGACCACCGGCCGCACGGATGAGCGGCCAAGACATGGGTGAAAGACATGCTGAGTGAAGCTTGAAAAAGGACATTTGGAGTGTGGGCGGCTGCTATGCGAGGAATTCACCCAATCTTCTTTTTTTCCCCTGTGCCCTTTCAAAAAAAATAACACAGTCTTTTGATCTTCGGAACATCTTGGGGACAGGAAGATGCAACTGTAGAATCGCTCCAGCCCGAACCCGTTTTGTGATGTTTTGTGCCTTTTTTGGAAGCGCACACCCTGGAAACACCCACAGGTCATGACTCCGAAGAAAGGCGCAGCGATGTTCCTCCGCGCGAGGTTTTCGCTCTTCCTGTTCTTCTATTTTTTTCCGACTGACTTCCCCTGAAGAATGGACGTCACCATTGTTTATCGATCATATGATTGGAGACTATATACCTTTTGAACATCTCAGTCGGCCAAGGCCGACTTTCGGGCTGAGAAATGGTGTTGCAGCGACCAAGGTTGACAAATAAGGCCCCCCCCCCGCCACGTGTACAGACAGGAAGCAACATAAACCGTAACTCCAAAACGGTAGAGGAGATGGATATAGATGTATCGGATCCTTTTTGCAACCGCCACGGGCTGATTCTGTTTTCGACTCGACTCGTCGACGTGTGTTGATCAGACCTGGAA